GGAATTATATCAACATATTGTTTATAATTTGAATCTAAATTTAATGCTTTTCCTTGGCCAGAAAAATCTGGATTGACATAAGTAATATTATTGAAAGTTGTACCGTTGTAAACTCCTCGAATGTCATCGGTTACACTTGAACAATCAAAAGACCAAAGAATATCTGCTGTAATCTTGAATGGTCGAGATTTGCATACTAAATATTTTTATAGTTAAATCTTCTATTAAATAGAAATGACAAGAAACATGCCTGATGCAGCGATAGAAGAACTTTTTCTTGTACCAAGAACAGCACCAAGTATAACAACAGCAATACAAATAAGCATAAAGATACCTGTGCTAAATTTGCAAATTTTCGTTTTGTACCATGGTCGTGCTAGTTCCATCTTTGGATAGAGATCTGCACCTATATTTTAGAAGATAGAGATTGTGAACAATCATAGATTGATTCAATAAGAAATACCGTTGAAAGGAGGTGCCAGTAGAATTTTTTGAGGTATTTTCTGTTTCAAATGAATTATATAAAGATCTGGTGCTGGATTTAATTGTGATTGAACTTCCATGTATGTACCAGGAAGAAGAAGCACTTCATCTTCAGTATTAAAGGCTGAATAGGACTCAATTGATTTTCCATTGATTGTTTCAATTGAAAATAATGTTCTTTCACCAGTACCACCCAAATAAAGATTTGATTCAAGCACTTTAAGTGAAGTAGTACAAGACGAAAACGACCACCAAATTATTTGAGAACCAGGAGCAAAGTCTGCACTGATATTTCTTTTGACACCACGCCAAACAACTTGAGCTGGAACAAAAGGTAATTTAGCAAGAGCTGTCAAGAAAAGTTTTAAATATTTGTACCATGGTCGAAGTTCATCTCGATCAGATGTATTTCTTAGAGCTTTATTTAAAATAGTATAAAGACTAATTTGTCCGTTCCTCCATTCTACTGTATATAGATAAATTGCTGCTAATTCGTCTTGTGTAAGATCATCGTTTGGTTGTCGAGATTTATCAAGAGCAAGTTCTACGTAACTTTCCAACTCAGAAACAATTGAAGATAAAGGTAAACATGCGTCCCGTAGAGGGAGAAGAGGTTCTAGAGCATAGTCAATGATTGGAAGAAGATCTTTTGGAGAATCATCAACTATAGTTTTTATGAGAAGACGAGGGTTTGTACGACGATCCGATTGAACATCAGTAGTTGAGTTTGAATTAGACACATGTGCTTCTTCTATAGTGAAATCCTCACGCCAATCTCGCATAAAAATTTGATCGTCATTCGGATGACTCATGATTAATTTTTCTCTGAAATGAAAATTAATCAAATTAATATAAACGAACTCACATCATGAACTCAGAATATTTGGAGATTTTTATTTCTGTGTAGATCACTCAAATAGAATTATATGCCGATGTAAAAGACAACATAGATATGAAAAAAATTATTATTTGGAAATCTAATAATGTGAATCAACTGTATTGTATACAATCACGTGATTGTCAGCTTCATAATACTCTACTTTGAATGTAGTGTATTATCAAGTAGAACAATTAGTCACAATGTTATGTGCGCAACTAGATAAAATTAGAAAGGGAAAGAAATGAAAGAGAATGATCAATTACATCGGGCTATATTTATTCATGCTTGTCAATGGCGCATTCTCTTATACACGGAAGAATACTAATAGGGATATCGTTTTCTATATTGAAAAAGAAATGCTATGATACATGCATATTTTGATCACTAGAGGGTGTGTCTATGGTAGAGCTCATTGAATCGAAGCTTGAAAATTTTTATTAATCAGGTCTAGATGATTTGTCATAATGTTTTTTTCTTTTTTGAATCAACATGTTCATTCTTCCTTAGCAATAAATTTATACTACTTCTTTAGTTTTTCATGCATATAATTCAATAAAAAGTAAAAGTTGTCGAACATAATTAATAATATAAAACTCTTTTTAATGTATATATATTCATACTTTCATCAGAAGCTATTTGTTAGAAGTAACAACCAATTATAATTTAGTATTTATGAGATCCCTATCGGATTGTTTAAAGAACATGTAGACTTTATTATTCGTAGAACACAAAAAACTAAAACAATGAATTCAGACCCATAAACAATTAATCAATCAGGTCCAATGTCAACAACTTTTAATCAATCGGATTCGGATCCAGAAATTTGCGGATCAGATGGGCTCTAGTGTGTGTGTAGATGTGTAGATGTCAGAAATGGTGAAGTGAATATCGATACCCACACCATAATGTTTAATAAATAATACATGGTGGCGGAGTGTGAGTGTCGATCTTACCTTCGAGTACATTTGTGCATCCATATCCACACTTAAACATCCAAGGATTTAGTTCTGTGTCTATGTCCGTCACATCTCTGGAGGATTTCGAATTTCCACCCTTATGCTTCAACACTCCTTACATATCGTGTTTTACAAAAGCTACATTCGACTTGCTCGACTCATTTCATATTTACGTATGTCACTCAAGTCGTGTTTCGTTTTCAAGCACTTTTGTTGCTTGCACTGGAGTTTCCTCACTATTTACATGTGCTGTACATGCTAATAGTTCAATTATTTCTTGATATTTAAGCTATACTAGAACTATAAAATAAAATTATTTTTCTACTTCTAATCTCAATTTAAGGTCTTGCGCAATAATTTCATATGTTCCTCAGAAGATAATATTCATGTGTGAATTCTTTACAGTAAAAAGTTTTTTTTTTGTAAGGTAAGAATTTTGAGTAGTTTGTTTTCTTTTACCTTCGAAATCGGCGTAATATGCAAGCTCTTATAGATAAAATATTTAAAATGTAAATTTCAATGTTTCCTTCATCTTGTCAACAATTTGAAATTATTCTACCGATTCATATTAAAATATTTCATTTGTTGTATTTCACTTGATTGTTCTGTTGCCGTCTCTTCTCATATACCATTTATGATTTCCTAATGCTAGATCAGGTATCTAAAGAAATCACTAATTTTTTTTAATTGAGTTTTAAGAACGATCATTTCATATATATCTCTTTTTATTTGCAAATGGATCTCCAACATCAAATGCAAATATTGCATATATATATCATTGGTTAAATCTCATGGAATTTAATTTAATATGAATATTACACCCACAGTTGAGATATGAATGTAACCCTTCTCTTAACTATATCGACCCTCGCATAGGGTGTGGGTATCGGTGTGAGTGTGGGACTGGGTCTGGGTATGAGTGAAGAGGAGATTAACACGCACGCCCACGCTCACACCCACACCTACACACCCACATCCCACACCCAGCCACACCCACATCTTCTTTGTACCTTTACTTGAAAATGATAATAAATTTATCGAAACGTCATAAGATGACGAAAAACTAAAAACTATTTGTCTTATATTTATTTAAGCTGCTGCAAAAAACTTTTTCATATTGCTGTCAGAGACTACGATTATGACGATGCAGATAAGCGAAAGTGCCCCTCAATACTCGTATCGTACGACCCTATGTACCTGCATTGTAAAAGGGAGCCTCCATGATATTATGGTTCATAATTCATCCTTCTACAACAGATAAAGTATGCCAACTCAATTCAGATTGTTAGGATGAAAACGCTATCTACGAAGTTTTCCGGGTACGCGAAATCTAATCCGAGGTCAGATTTTAATTTTTATATTTTTATTATCAATTTGTTAGTGCTTTAACTTTTTGTTTTTCAATTTTAATTTTTTAATTTAAGTTTTTTGTATTTTAATATTTTTTTTAGCTTTTTATTATAATTTTCTAATTTTGGTATTTTTAACCTTTTCATTTCAGGTTCTTTTCTTTTTTTCAATTTTTTTAATTTTGATTTTTCCATTTTAATTTTCTTATTTTATATTGTTTCTTGAATTTTTGTCACTTTAGTTTTTTTTCATTTCTTTATTTTAATTTTTAAACTTTTTAATCAGTCTTTTATTTTTTTTTACTAATTACTAAGAACTCATAATAAAAATATCAAAATAAAAAATTTAACTTCGGATTTGGATTCCTAACCACTAATTTTTTTTAAGAATCTGTATCGCAGCTCGATCGTATTGAAACACATAGGAATCTTTCTAATTTTCATCAATTGAACTATTATGTGAAATCAGTAATAATGCTCCGTTTTAAAATCATGTATTAACAGAAATTCGTCTTTATCTGAGATGCTGCTAGTGATCAAGAGTATCATGATGAACCAAAAAATAGACATTATCGTATGACTTCAGAATCTGTTCAATTATCAAGCAAATGAATATTTTCAACGATGTGAGTTGTGTCATTATATACCATTCTGCTTTTTCATATATAATCAATATAGCACACGAGTTAAATCAATAAAACTCGGCGTTTGTAATTCTATAGCATACATTTTCAACAATGAGTTTTACAGTAATCCGATCATGAAAATAAATTTTATCACGTCATTTACAATTATTGACGTCAGAGAAGGATGACTTTCATAGAGATAGGAGTCAGGTGTTTGTTCTCTGTACTGCTGGCATAATAATGATTATATATGGTCTTGCAGGATTTCCAGTAGATCTATTCTATACCATATATGGTAAAGTGTTCAAAGAATTTTCTTGAGTAGGTACTAATCGAATTCTTTCCTGCTGAATGGGGTTACATGAATTTCGACCCAGACTTTCGGCCCGAGCCCAAGTTTCATTGATGAAAGTCCCTAGAAACTCGAAATCTGACGAAAAGTTGATACAATGCGTTGTACATAGTGACATTTGTTTCCAGTAAAACGTAGTGTTCAGCAGAATGTATATTGCTGAGCAGAACGTCATACTGCCCACTGGGTTGGTGTAATGTTGAACAGGATTTCATAGCGCTTAGAAGACTGCTTTGAACTTTATAAGAAGTGGTGTAGTCGTTTGAGATAATTATTACTGGTATGAAATAAATGCCACACGTAAAAGTGAAGTGCTCAATAGGGCTAGGATGTGGGTGTGATGGGTCGGTGTGGGTGTGATGGGTCGGTGTGGGTGTGATGGGTCGGTGTGGGTGTAGGTGTGGATGGATGTGGATGTGAGTGAGTGGGTGTTTGTGAAGAGATAATCCATACCCATACCACACCTCACACACACTCACAGCCGCACACCACACTCACACCCACACACCACATCCACATGCCACACCCACACCCCACCCACACTCACACTCCACCCATACCCTCAGTTGCACAGAATTTTGCTTGTTTTGAAAACAAAAAGTGCACAATTAAAATGAGCTTTACCTTGTAGATTGTAGAGCTTTTCACATTGCATCTTGTAATATTTTTTTGTTTTTTAATACAACGTATTAAGTGATGAAAAATTGAAATGCAAAATGCGACCATTTAATCTGCCTATCTGGTATTTTTTGAGGACCAAAAGCGCATGTAGCAAACTTTCTTTATTGATGATCTTACTTCCTGAGCTAGAACCTTTATTTTTACACAATAAGTGCACTTTGAAATGCTCTTCAAAATAAATATTTATTTGTTGAAAATGCTCAATTAGTTGCAAAGTTATATCGATAGCAAAAATGCCGCGAACTTTTTTCCCATACCTCACTATAAAGGTCCAATATGAAATAATCGACAATTTTCATAAAACTTACACAGAATCATCGTTTTCACTAAATATCAATAAAAGTCAAAGCAATTATATACAAACAAGGATATATAGAAAACATATTATCAATTGAAGAAATATCTAAATAATATTCGAAGTTTATAAGTTAAGATTATATCAAATAAGTTCCATCTTTCCAGTATATTTTATGAGATTTATACAACTATTTTATATTAATATAGAAATTATCAAAGACATTATATTCAATAAAATCAATTTACTATAATTAATTATATTTATAATAAGACATATAAATCATATTTATAAATAATTCATTCTATGAATATATTAAATAAAAATTTTTCAAATAAAAAAAATATCAATAATAGATATTCTTCCATCTGTTCTTGTTTTTCTGAACCAATCGAATAGGATTTTTTTTTCATCTTTTAATATTTAACCAAGATTCTTCCCTGAATTTCAACTTCAAAACAATAAAAACACGTCATAGATATGTTTCAATCATTACCATATATATCTATTTGTTTCTACATGATAAATGCGGATCGATAAAACGTAATCAAACAATCAAAGCCATTTATATATAGTTTCAACTTAATATGACATACTGTAGAAGCCATTTACAATCGTAATTTTCTATAATTACATTTTGAGCTACATCAATCAGTAATTTCAAATTGGACAA